ATGAATCTTCGGAGAGATTGATGGCTTCTAATGTTCTTATGTCTAACTGCAAGTCCTAGCAAGTCAGAGAATGGTAAAAAATGTATGTTGACTTCAGTGATTTGACATAAAAAACCTTGTAACAATTTATCCCAGATAAAATGAGTTAAAGCTGATTAATAAAATGCTGCAAATGATCATGCCCTACATGGGACAAGCTGCACATTTTACAGGATTTTGCTACATTCTCTGAAAGCAGGAAAGCAGGTCAAGACAGTTATAGACAGTTTATAGTTATAGAAATGTATGAAATTGACTTAGTCATGCACCACAGGTTTGAAATTACATGGCACAAAATTTAACTGGGCTATAACTGGACAAACTAGGTCAGGGAAATGAGATTAACAGTTGGTCAGAGCACGGTGCTAATAACACCAAGTTGTGGGTTCAATACCCACACAGGACATGTGCTTAGGAGTTGCACTTGATGATCCTTGTGGGTCTCTTCCAACTCAGAATATGCCAGAATTACTTGGCAATTAGGAACCCTTAGTTCCGTTTAATGTGATTAGGACTATGCTTCTCTCTGTGGACAAAAGCAGATCACTGAAGAAGTGTTAACTTCAGGTAAGTGCATATGATGCTTTTTCCAAGTATTGTCCCATCTTCATCCATTCTGGATCTTTTTAAACACATTTTCTACTTTGGCAAGAGATGTCTCAGGTTGGTCTGAGACATCAGGTGAACATCAGGTAAAATGTTGCTAACAACATCCCGGTATTTGTCTCCAGCATGACTCCTGTATCAGAACACAACCCATGAAATTTGACAGACAGTTGTCAAGAAGCAGGAGTCTGAAGCCCAAAGCAAATCAAGATCTCAGAGGCCACTCTGTCTTTTATCAAATTGCAACAACATGGATTATCTAAGATTAGCAGTGCAAAATAAATTCAAAGCTCTCTCTTGTAAATCATAAACAGTGGAGGAAAATCTAAATAGCAGGTCAGCATATATAACAGTAACCAGTGCTTAGTTCTCACCTGCTGCTAGTGCTTAAGAATCTTCAAAAACAAGTACTTCTACATCATTTTGACAGGGTAAACATACCCAGCTAATGCCAGTAGAGCTCTATATTTAAGTGTACTTGAACATTAGATGAACTAGGGAATAGAAATTCTCATTCCATTATTTGTTAGAGGGCAGGACCTGCCACTATTCCAAAGGCAAATGAAATATCTAACTGATAGCAGAGCTGGTATCTTTCACATCTATTAAAAATACTTTTCTGTAACAGATGAGAACACTGACCACCCATTGCCAAAAAAGGTGACAGAGAAAGTTGTTTTTTTAATAAGATATGCAATTAAATATTCCGATGGAAAGACAGAACAAAAGAACAGTCATCATAATTTGAAATGTAAAGTTTATTTGTCTGAAAGGATGAGTGGGCACAAAATCCAATATACAGATTTGGTAAATACTTGTGCTTTGTGATTTTTCTTAGGAACGCTGACTCACTGAAAGTCTTTACTGCTGTGAGTGAGTGCAGTCAATATACAAGAACACAATATTCCTTTTTATATATTTTATAAAAGGGAAAACCAAAATCTTAAAAAATGTATTTCCTCTAATTCTATGCGCTCTGGTGGTTGTTGTTCCCCCACTGTATTTAGCCATTTTCTTGAAAAATCTCAGTGAGGAAACATTCCTTTGGTATTTCTTGAACATTTATCTTTTATGACTGCTTCATAAGAAAGCTAATGAAACAATGTATGTTAATTTATTACAGAGTAGGTACAAAACCAGTGTAGAAAACAAAGTCAAAAGCTATTTTTCAATGATTACAATTTTTTTGGAAGGATGAATTGAATGAAAGATGAATGAAGTGATCTACCATAGGCTTGATACAATTTAATATTCTCACCAGAAATAGAAAGTGGAGAATGCATACTGTATTTATGAGTCCCACCAAACAGATGTAGCGTAGTTAAAGGATTCGAAATCATCAAACCAAACTGGAGTAAATGTTGGTAAAAATACAAAATTCAATAGGGAGAGATTTTATCCAGTCTGAATAATCACTTCCTACATACAAAATGAGGCCAATACCTGTCCTGAATATGGTCACAAACTGAACAAGGCCAGTGTCAGGCTGCTGCAAAATGCTACTTCATATGTGTTTGAAGATGTTTGTCTGGTAGGATAGTGATGGAATTTCTTTTCTGATCCTAGAGAGCAAAGCATTAAAGCAGTTTTACTGCAGAAGTTTTGGGATGTTCATCACTGGAATTGTTGAAGAAAAGGTTACAAACATTTTCTAGCCAACAGACTAGGTGATCTCCTGTGGCTCCCTCCAGATCCAAACCATGCAGGCTGACCTTGAACTTGCATAATTCACTATCACTCTCTCTCCCAAAACAGCTATTTCTAAGTCACGAGTCATGTTTTTCTTTCAGTTTCACTGATATTTCAGTTACTAAAATAACACAATATTACAGTGGCTATTGTACTAGTACAATACTAAAATAGAGTGAGTGAAGTAAGACACTAAAAATCTGACGTATTTGATTGTAAACCTTGATTCACAGTGCTTAGAGCATATTCATCTTTATTTTGCATCTAATTTAATCATTTTTGACAGATGGGCAGAAGGTAGTAAACAGTATAGTGGCTAAACCTAGATAACTTCTTGTAACTATCTAAAGGCTTCAGCACCTCTGTGAGCTGAACCAGGGAAATTATATGGAGCCCTAATGCTGTTATACTGTTCATTTTAGAAGCAATTTAAAATCAAGGGTATTATACTCCTGAGTGAAACCTGATTCTGCAGGGAAAAAAAAATGAAGCTTTTTATTGTGTAAGAGCTCCCAAGAGTGTTTATGCAGAGTACATTTTTGACTTCTATATGTCCTCTAAAGTGCTGGACTACGGAGGCTTGCAGAGCCCACAGATGCTGGGGGCAGAAGCAGGAATGGTATGGTGACAGTTTCATGCAGCAGGTGTATTGATTTGGAGGAACTATTGGCTGGTGGGCCAAAACCAGAAATTACCTTTTTCAGAGGGTTCTCAATGGCTCCCAAGGCTAATCAAGAACGTTTGTGACCTGACAAGGGTTATTAAAGGCAAGAAAGTGACACAATTGAGAAGGAAAGAAATAAAAGGCTGCTCCTGAAAATGGGTGGGGGTAAGGATAGTACTGTCATACTGGGGCTTCCTGCCTAGGTGACAAAACTGTTGAAATGTTAGGTATTCTAGCAAAAAAACCCTCAAAAATCCTTGTGATCTCAATTAGGGCATCCAGCTCAGTAAATAGTTTAGGTTAAAATTTTTCCATCTCTGTTCAGTTCCTATGTAATGGGCATCATACCCTGAAGATAAAGTTCATCAGTGCCTGTGAAACAGGCAGTGACAGACCTCAGAGAAATGGATGGATGTGAGAAGACAAATCCTTTTGTCTTCAGTGTAGACTTGAGAATGCATATAATAAATGAATGCAGAGCGGTTAGGAAACAAGGAAAAACTGTGACTGTAGTAAATGCTCCTTGGGAAGAGGGCTCCTGTAAAATCTTACCACATAACCAGATAATTAAAGTAGGCACGTGGCATATACACAAGCTCCACATGTAAACTTAGCTTTGGTATTTCTACTTCTGCTGTTCAGCAGCTTTGCAACTTTATTCATATCCATCTCACACAGCATTAGAGAGGTGGATTTATTGGCTGCAGAGGAAGGGGTGGCTGCAGTTTCCAGTAGGATCCATGAGACCTTCCTCTTAGATTTTCACTTAGGAGCATGAGGTAGACCTGACAGCTCTTATGTATTTGTCAAATGACATACATATTAATACCTACACTGACAAGGATAAGGCTTGGGTTTAAACTGGTGTTTTGCTTTTTGCAGTAACATATCACAATCTCATATGTGATTGGCTTTTTGCAGTCCCTCTAAATTTTCCTGCAGCATTAATTGTTTTCCAATTTATTTCCTTGAATACTTTTCTCTAATTTTGGTTCTTTTCCCACACATATTTACTAATTCAGTTTTTCAACCCTGAACATCAATTAGTTAAAAATCCAGGTTCTATAGTTATCTTTGGGTTATTTCTTGTCCCCTTTGACATAAAAAACCCCTATAATAGGTTTCTGTGTCCACAGATCTCTTTAGCCCAACTATAATTACGATACTACTTTGAATCAAAGAAGATAAACTTCTCACACACCTTTCTTAATGAGTGTCCAAAACCAACCAAGCTAAGTTAGGGAATTCTGCATCTTTACCTCTTCTTGGGAAGGGTAAGGGGCTGAGAATGTGACAGGGGCTGTGGATGTGACAGGTGCTGTGGCACTGGTTTGAGAGGGGCCTGTGGATGTGGATGTGGCAGGGGCTATGGATGTGGCAGGTACTGTGGATGTGGAAGGGCTGTGATGGCTGTGGGGATGCCGCAGGGGCTCTGGATGTGGCAGGGGCTTTGACGGCTGAGGGGATGTGGCAGGGCTGTGATGGCTGTGGGGAAGTGGCAGGGGTTTGGGGAGGGGCTGTGGATGTGGCAGGGGCTGTGGATGTGGCAGGGGCTGTGACGGCTGTGGCAGGGGCTGTGATGGCTGCGGGGAAGTGGCAGGGGCTGAGCATGTGGCAGGGGCTGTGACGGCTGTGGCACGGGCTGTGATGGCTGCGGGGAAGTGGCAGGGGCTGAGCATGTGGCAGGGGCTGTGACGGCTGTGGCAGGGGCTGTGACGGCTGCGGGGAAGTGGCACGGGCTGTGGATGTGGCAGGGGCCGTGACGGCCGTGAGGATGCCGCAGGCCCTACGGCACTGCCCGGCCCCGCCCCGGCCGGGCCGCCGCGGTCACGTGCGGCGGGGCGGTGGGGCGGTCACGTGAGCGCGGGGGCCGGGCCGGAGGGGAAGATGGCGGCGGAGCGGGAGCCGCCGCCGCTGGGGGAGACACGGTCCGCCGACCTCGAGGAGCTGGAGGACGGCGAGGACCTCTTCACCAGCACCGTGTCCACCCTGGAGGTGAGGAAAGGTCGCCCTCGGCTGCAGGTCCTGCGCGCCGTGGCCGACCCGGCGCCCGCCGGGCCCTCCCCTCCCTGTCAGGCCGCCAGTGCTTCGCTCCTGCCCAGGCCCCCCTCACTCCTGCCCGGGCCCCCGCCCCGCCGCTGCCCCTGCCGACCTGGCCTCCACCAGGTCGCGGTCCCTCCGCACACCTCTGCTTCGGCTCCTCGGAGCTTCCGTCACGGAGAGAAGGGGGTTCTGCTGCCAAGAGAAGCTCAAACCTCTTTCCTCCAAGTACCTCCGTTTTCCTTTCATTTACCCTTTTCTTCTGCTGCCAGGGGAATATTCTCACCTTACCTCTTTCCAGTTTCGCTGGGGTATGTGGGTGTGGGTGTGAGTGTGGGTGTGTGTGTGTCTCCGCCTTTGAGTGGATTAATAACGACCCATTTTCTTTGTTTGGCCTCTTTCTGAGGCTTCACTCCATTTCAGTTTGCAGATCTTGTAGAAACTTATTTGTCTCTGAGGTTTTTTCCAAGGGAGCCGACGCAGTGCTGGGCTGCGGCAGCTGCTGGGACCTGCCGGGAAAGAAGCTGGAGGAGAGATGATAAACGCTTGTGTGTTCATTCGTTATAGCGGGAACCTTTTTGGCACGTTGTTGTGGTCACGTTCCACCTACGTGTCTTGCCAGTATCTTCTGGAAGAACTTTATTCTTCCTGTGCATTGATGGCCATCTAAAAAGAAAATTGTTCTGTTCCTCTTTTCCTGAAGAGTTTTCTGTCCTTGACATTTACAGAAGTAGGATTGGTGCATGTTTCTCTGGTTTTGCTCTGGTTGTTGTCTGTCCTTAAGAAAAAACCCTGCAGTGTACAGAGTGGGTTTTAAATGTATGTTAAAGTCACTTGCCTTTTCTCAAGCTACTTTTTTTCTTTCTTTTTATAGATGCATAATCTGTGCATTGGTAGAAAAAAATCTGTGGGAAAAATGCACTGAAGGAATAAGAAATGATGTGAATCAGCAGTTGACAAGAATTGCATGAGTAGACTTCTGTGCATCTCTGTGTGACACAGTGTGCATTACTGGAGTCTTTTTCAGTGCATGGAGAAAGACTGCAGTGTAACACAAACAATGTTTTTATTGATGTGGTCAGGAACTAAAGCTGCAGGAGATAAGATAGATTTAGTGTCCAAGTCACAGTTACCATGAGATAAAAAAGTTACTGAAACTCCTCTAACTGCAAACGTTGGCAAAGAAATGGGCTTTGTATCAATTGCTGACAATTCCGCTCTGCTGCTTTGTTTGTGTACACAGTCTGTTTGGGATAGAGTCTCTAAGGGGAAAGGGGAAGCCTTGTTGCTTAAAGAGAAGCTTTTAAAAGCTGTGTCAGTAAGCTTTTTCTGGCATCAGCATTTAGGGAACTGCCTTAATCTTGTGATTTTCCTGCAGATTTGGAAGAGAGAGGTGATGAAAATTGACTTTGGACTTCTTACTAGCTTAAATATAAATTGGAGGATTCAGTGTATAGAATACCATAGTCCAGAGAAGAATGATTGTCTGATGATGTAGGCCTAGTTAACCTTTTGTCTTGAGTGTTACTTTAATCTGGTAAATATTCATGGACAAACTGGTTATAAGTGGCAGTGGGAGTTGTATAGTAACAACAGAATGGTGCCATGCTTTTTGTAGCTAATCATGCATTCAGTTGCTGATACCAGAAGTGAGAGAGCGGCAAGGGACACTGAGGTCCAAACCCAACTTACATGAGGGATTTGGTACTTTGAAAAGGTTCCCAAATGCTTTATCTTGGAGCTATTTGCTTTTAGCATGATTAATTTCAGTTCCTTCCTATTTTATCTTGCTTTCATTCTCTTTGCAGTTCACAAAATGTGTGCTGAGCCTTTCCTGTCTATAATTTGATTGTGCAGTGGAAAAACTGTGTGTTTTCTAATACATCTTTCAAATAGATTCCATATTAACAAAGTCTCCATTTGGAAAACACAAGCTAAGTTGCTTTTGACAAAATATACATTCATTGTACAGTATGAATGGCAAATATGTAGCATTTAAGTACAGAGAGGCTTAGTTACTTCAGTGGCTTCAAATGGAAAGTATTTTCTCTGTGCATGTTGCAAAAAAGGTAATGTGTTGAATTGAACTCTTGCAATTGTAGAAAGTCAGCGAGAAAGGTCTCGCTGAGCTGTAACACCTGGGATTTCTGGGGTGCAGTGGAAACACCTTTTAGGACTTGAAAATTTGCTGTATGGCAGAGAATGAGAACTCTTCCTTCCTATGGTCTTTGGACATGAGTGAACTGGGAGCTAGGTTGGGCAGCAGCTTGTCTGAGCTGATGGGATGCTCATTTTACTGTCAGGTATCCACAGTGCCTATGAGTAGTAGAATGAGAATGATTATTTTGTTTTTATTGTGCCAACTGTATTGTGAGTCTGGACCACTGCCTCTCTTACATACAGGGTTACTGAGAGATTTCCCTTCAGCTGCCAGAGTAGCTTTCATTAGTGAGAACAGCTGGGATGAATTATGTACATGGTTTAAGCCAAAATTGCATTTACAGTGATAATCAGTGGTGAGTTCCATGTGATATTATATGTGTGCTGGTTGGCATCTGCAGTGCTCTCCTAGATGTCAGGTTTTTGTAGCTCAATATCTTCCTGAGGTCTAGGTAGACTTTTACCTACTTGCTAAAATTTCAAGTGAATGAATTTTGGTGGGGTTTTGTTTGGGTGTTTTGTTTTTTGGTTGGGTTTTTTTTTGTATTTTTCATGATGTGGGTTTTTTTGAGGTTTGTTTTTGTTTTGTTTTTTGGCCATTGTTGGGTTTTGTTTTTTTTTAAACAGCATCCAAGATTTGCACAGCAAGAAGTTCTGGAAGTTAATTGTGCATTATGAAAAGAATCACTCCGTATTACAAGTTTAATCAACAAGCTAACTTGCTTTTTGTGTACTCTGCTCCCATTAGAAGGGTCCACAAACAACTGCATGAAAGTCAAATTTCGTGACATATGTGTAAGATATACATTAGATTTTCTGAAAAAATGGTCACTGTTACTCTCTTTTCACCATTTCTACCTTCTCCCTCCTTCATGCACCAGTCTTTGTCATCTTTCTTGTTTGTATATCACACCATTTCTTATTTCACTTTTCCTAAACTTCTCACTTATCTCTGTACTGCCAGTCTATCTTTCATGAAGTTGCCATGTAAACAGAGGAACCTAGGCTGCCATCTACTCATTCAAACATATGTTGTCATTCCCATACTCCTGTTTAGTGGTGTTTTGGGGTTTTTTTAATGGAAAAATACATGGAGAAACTTTAAAATAATCAGTAAGTAGTAGATGTGGTAATTTATCACGGACTGTAATTTAGGGCAGGATGTGTAATAATCTCATTGCTAGTTGATCTGTTTATGTCAAAGATCTGCAGTATCTATTTGTTTTTTGTACATGAGGCAAAACACTAGATAGCCACAGAAGTCTAGATGGCTTTAATAATATCCATTCAGTTTAACAGTGGCCGTTACTGTGGAAGCAGTAAAGCTCCCATTGGAATATCAGAGAGAAAAGCACTAAGTCCTTCAATACTGTACTATACCTTTGCAGAAAGCTAAGTCTGTATCCAAGATTAATTGATGTAATTTTACTGAAAATGTGTGTCTTGTTGCTTGATGTTAAATCTAGGCTGTAACGGAAGTATGTGGAAATTCATTCCAATGTGGCTGCTTGTGTCATCTTCCTTTCTGCTGCAAATGAGACTGTCCTGATGTTGAGTGTGTTGTCTCTGCCAATGCTATGATTTGTGAGCTCCTGTAACCCTGTTTCAGACAGTGAGCTGGGTTAACCTGAACAACTAGAATATGATGATGGCCACCTTCTGTCAGCCCTCTGTGTTTTGACTGAGGGAAGCTAGGAGGGGCTCATGCAAGCAGAACTAGTTTGGGGGTACCCTACTATTAAGAGAAAGGAGGATGTCCAAATGTCTAGAGCTATAATTTCAACCAGCCGAAAATGCAAGAACTTATTCTTGTTTCTTCATAAGTCAGAGCTGTAAAATACTTGGTTATTGCCTCCAGATGTAAGGAACAATAAAAGAACAGAAAATAGAGCTTGTTACTGATGTTGTAAATTGGAATGGGCCCATGGGCATCTTATCAGAAGCTTGTTTTCAAGAAAAACATGGCAGGATCCTGACTGTCCTGGATACCTGGATGTCCTGGCCATTGAGTATCTTGGTTATTGGAAGCTTCACCAAATCTTCAGCTCAGGAGTTGTTCAGAAATTTCACAGCTGTGCACATTTCAGGAAATGGATGTGTTTATGACAGTTTGTGAATCCTTGGCATCGAGTAAATTTAAAGTTTCTAAACAGCTATCCTATTTGTCTGTGCCATGAGGTTTTTGTTAGTCTCATCTCCATGTCTTGTCTGATAAAAGAGATTTTCACTGCACTGACTACTGATTCCTTTGACAGGCATTTTTCATTGGCCATTTTAGCTGTATTTTGTAGAGATAGAAAAGCAAAGCTGGGATCCTGTCTTCTAGCTCTCATCCATAGAAGACTGTAACTGAAACAGCTTAATGTATTGTTCACAGGCATGGGTGCTTCTTTGGTTTCTGAGAGGCACTTTCTGACCCACTGGCTGTGCAAAATAATCAGGTTATTAGAAATTGACTCAGTTTTTCCTACATAAGGGCAGTGCCTTGCTGGCTTTTTGTAGTTCCCTGAGAACTATGCCCATTTTGAAGAGAAGAAACTACACTTCATTGCAAAACTCTTAAACAAGCTAATGCAGTGTTCAGACCATGAATAATTTTTAAGATGCTACTACACATTTTTTCTTATAAAATCACAACTCTTAGTGAATATATTTAGTTCCCATTCTTAATTCATCTTGTCTGAGAATACAGCTGTTTAAAAGGACCAAAGAGCCACAGAAAGATTAATAGACCAGTAGGGACCATATCACCTGTTAGCTTGTTGAAGTTTATTTCTGTCTGGCATTCATGACTCCCCCTGACATGGGAGAGAAAAATTGGAAGGGTAAAAATGAGAAGACCAGTAGACAGAGATGAAGAGAATTTGATGGGTAGAATAAAAGTTGCAGTTTTTCACCTCTTCCATGGGCAGGCCTGTGCTTAGCCATCTCCAGGAAGAGAGAAGTGTAACAAGTATTCTAACTCCAGATATCCTCTCTGTCCTTCTTCACCATAGCTTTGCTGAGCATGGTTTTACAAGGTATGGGATATCCATCTGGTCAGCTTTCCTCTTCAGGTTTTCAAGGTGCCCATAAGGGCTGTTTGAGTCCTTGCTGTTGCAAATATTCCCATATGAAGTTTGGAGAGAGCTGCCTGTAATTGTTCTCCTAACTACAGCTATGAAGCCTGGTATCCAGTGCAGAAATATTGGCTTTTTCTGTGCCATTGGACAGGCTCTTTCCCAGCTCAGTAACAGAAACGGACTTGGTGGCATGTATTTGTAGCTATTTTTAGAGGAATCTGTATCTCCCTTTAAAGTGGGAATACCTCTGTATTGACCTTTGGTTAACTTGTAACTTTAGGCATGCAGATATTTTCCTTGGGTTGATCAGATTTAAGTGTTCAAAGTGAATTTTGTGTCTGATAGAATAGATTTGTGATTAGAAGCCAGGTATAGTCAAAAATAACCATTAGTAACTGAAATAGCTACTTCCAATAAAACTCAGAAGATAGAGTGAGGGAATAGCTTGAAGGTATAAGCATTCTCCAGGGGCTCTCTTCCACCATTCATTAAGCAAGAGCATAGTTAAGTGATAAAGCAGAAAGCTCTCTGCTGATGTGCTATAAAGGTTCAGGAAGGCTTTTCTTCCCTATGGCTGTTTTTCATGGCAGTGACTTGACAAGCACAAACCTACATGCATTCTGCATCTGTGGCAGCAGGGGATTCCCAACTGTGTCCTAAAACTCCAGTCTATCAAAATGTAAGTGGATTGCTGTTCAAAGCTAAATAGCAGCAAAACTGGTTTGGAATGAGTACTTACAATGTTTCAGTGAAGAACTGTTTTTGCTGATAAAACTTTAACCTTTTTGAACCTCAAGCATTGAGAAAGCAAGCATTTCCATGCTGTTCTAGTTGGAATGCAAGGTTTTGAACTTGCACTTCTACACAGCACTGGCTGGAGAGGCAGACCATTTCTTCTGAAGTATGCTGCTTCTGAGTTGTGAAATTGCTTAAAACCTTCAGCTATTAGGTGTAACACATACTCATTTGTGGCCTGGTTTTAGTATTGCTTTAGTTTTCCTTAGTGTCTTCAACAGGGCAAGTTCTAGTCTTCAGTGAATTAAAAAATTGTATCTCTGGTAAGCCCAGCTTCCATGTACAATACAGTGTAATCCTCTGATCCTCTGTGCCAGTAATCCTGTTCCAAAGCTAACAAAATTTCTTACAGCTCCAAGCAGCCTTTAATTATTTGGATGGCATTAATACATTCTTTTCAATCACAGAGCACTTGGAGATTTCCATATTGATTTTTGGCTATGTACAAATCCAGATTTAAATCCAAGCCTTTCCAGGAGGAACCTAATAATCAAGTTACATTTGGCATTTCTAAAAACTTATTCTAGGTCATTCTGTAGTAGCTTTTGTTTCATATTAATAAGCCTGAAGAAACTGTTGACTGTTTTTTCTCTCCAACAAAGAAATTAATAGCTGTTGACTAGCTCATATCTTTTATTCATTGTTGCTGTGCTAGGAATGGGAAATGGAAATAGCTGACAGAGTTCCCTTTCTGTAAATCTTTTGTTTCTTTGCAATGAAACAATGTTGCAATAATTCTTATATACTGACACATGGCAACTTGTTCTCTTATAATCATTTCACTTTTTTTTTTTTTTAACACAGTCTAGTCCTTCATCTCCAGAGCCAGCAAGTCTTCCCGCCGAAGACCTCAGCACAAACTCCAATGGTCCAAAGCCAGCAGAAATCATGCTGGATGGTGACAGAGAAGATCTCTTTGCTGGTAATGACTATTTTCTTCTAGCCTGCCTGCACAAACCATTTCACCCTTGAACTGAAGGAAATGTACTTTTCTGAGAGGGAGGATTGAAACCTTAAAAGTAGTCTGACAGCGTTGTAGAGGTCTCTTCTTCTGAAAAATGTTGTTAGTTGAGTTTGTTTATAAGTTTCTCTGTGGTGTGTACTGCCAGTGTGTAGTGTGGGTGTTAAGCTGGACATTACTAACATGTTCTGCTGACAGTAAGAATAGTCTTTATAATTTTGTGATTCAAAATGTTCAAATTGTTGGTGTGGAAATGTATGACTTAAGTTACTTTCTTGTTTTCTACTTAATAGTCATGCATAAGCTCTCCCAGCCATTTTTCCAGTTATAAAGAGAGAGGTAATTCAGATTGTATTGCAACTATTTCCTTCTTAATACTCTTGTTTTAATGGAAAGGTAACAAACTGGCACAAGGGACAAGTCCTATCGTTTTACTAGTGCATGATTGTGTCTCTGACAGTTGACAGTATTGCATGCTTTAGAAAAAGATGTGGAAGTTCTGATAAGTGATCTGTTAATAGACAGAACATTTCTAAAGGTTCGTAAATCAGTTGCTACTTCGGTGTCAGTTTTGAACTATCATAACATGGGTTATTGTTGCTGTCAGTTACAGTTGTGGGAACATTAACTATTCAAGAAAGGAGCTGGAATATTTGAAATGTATTATGTGCATAAGATGGTTCTGAATGTTACATCTCAATACTATCATTTTCCCTATTACTTCATATTGCATTAGTCAGCTGACAGTCTGCTTTGAATACAGTAATCTCATCCTCATTGGTTACCTGATGTGTCATTCCAAAAGAAACTTTATAGCCTTTAGTTCTGTGTTATTTTGTAGAAATGCATATATTCACATGCCCATTACATTTGTTCTCAACTTCCATAATTTGTATTTCCATGTATTTGAAGTTGTTTGTTCATGACACTGTTAGAATGTATTAACAAGTTTGGTACCTCTCTGAAAGTGTTTTAAAAGAAAAAAGGAATAAAGGATAGAGGGGTGATCTTACTCTTTTTCTGCAATTGTTTTGCCTTATAGCTTACAAAGACCATAAGTGCTTTAGCAATGTAGCTTTCTAGTACTAGTACATAATTTGGTTATTTAGCTTCAGTATATAAAGCCAGCTTTTTATAACCACAGGGCCATCTGGAGTGGATATTTTAAGAAAGACGATTCTCCTTTGGATAATATTAAGAAAAGAAAAAGGGAGACTGGAGTAAATATTGAGAGGAGTCAGACAGAAGGAACAAATGTTTGTAGCCAGATTGTTTCAACTGAAATGAATGCTGTGAGAATAACACAAGGAATTGATTTAATGAGTTTGGGTTTTGCCATGTAGGACATTCTCTGAGCACTTGCAGCACTGAACTGAAGGCATCTAGCACTTCACTTCTACCTCAGCTGAGACTGGTCTTTTGAAGTTCAATTTATAGTACAGAGTCTAGTACTCTCAAACAGAGGAAAAAACAAATATGATTTATGGAGCATGAGATAAAATACGATGTTTTTCACAATTTCTTGTTCTAAGCAAAAAGTTTGTTTAAAGCTGCTGAACTCAAGTCATGAACTTCAGTGTTTGTGTCACTGCCATTCTGAAATGCCATTGTGAAAAAACTGTGTTGAATTTGTGTTTCAGTGCTGTGCACTCACAAGTGTAACTATTCTTTTCTTTCTTAGGACTGTTTTGCTAGACAGTATAGAAACAGCATGAGAAGGGCAAGATGAGATAGCTAATTTCTTGCTCCCAGCATGATTGCAAAAGTCTGGCTTTCTAGGAAAGCAGAATTTAATTTAAAAATTATTGTGACAGAGTTTTTCTTTGACAATTAATTAAGATTCTTTTCCAAAGAATCTTAACTTGGCACATCTTATAGGAACACTTAAGTGAAGAGGAGAAAAATATGAAGCTCCACAGCTTTGTAGTTTCTGTTGTTCCTTCATATTGAATTAGTAGATGCTTTAAAATGCAGGTAAACGAAATCATGTTTGTGGCTCCTGAGAGGAGTGATTGCCATTCTTCAGGGTCAGAAATAATTATAGTTTTTCAGACTTCTAAAAATTGTGATGGTATGCCTCTATAGCTATTGTAGACTTAATAAAACTTTTCCATTGTTCCACCTCATGTTGCAGCGTAATGGAAAAGAAGGTGAAGCAGTACAAATTTTCTCTATGGCTTTAATGCAGGGCAGAAACCTGAGAACTGGTTTAGGCTTTTTTTATTATGCTTGAAATGTCTTTGCTGTTGTGTTTCTGTGACAACTACAAAATATGTGCAATATAGATATTCATTACCTTTACTCTGGCAACTTATAACTGAACTATTAAAACAGGGTCTCAAAAATTGAAGAAATTAGTTTTTCTGCTGTCATTGGAGATGAGTAAATTTTTCTGCTTTCTTGTGGTTCTTGTTCTGTAACAAAGCAAACTGTCTTGCTAAACCCACTTAAAAACTTTCACCCTCAGAATAAAAGTCATTATGTTGATTATTTGGCCAGAAGAATTACTTTATCTTACCTCGTAGAGCTCTTGCATGCAGAGACCTTAATGGTCAGTGCTTCAAATGAGGCAGTATTAGGTGTGTCTTAAGGAATTTGGAGATGCATCTTAAAGCTTGGTTGTCAATAACCTGCTATTGTACAGTGAAGAGCTGCATATTGAACTAGTATTCCAAAATGTTGACCCAAAAGTCAAGGTATAGCTGCACAAATGTGCATGGACTGGCCGTGAGGGACACAGTTGTCTGTGCTTTCTACATCTGGGGCTCATAGAAAAGCAGTAGATGGTGAACTCATCTGTAAAGTTTTATCAGTTTTTTGTCACCTTCTTCAAAAAAGTGGGAAACTATAATATTTCCTCTCCTCTGTTGGGTAAAAGATTACTGTTATTTTGTTTTTTCAGCTCAAAAATGTTTGGGAATGAATCGTGTTATGGAAGTGTCTAGCTATTGTGTCCTGAGGAAAAGCCACTGTGCTAGGGGCTGGGGTGATGTTTGTTTTCATTGGGTTGTTTTTTTGTTTAGTGGGGGTTTGTGTTGTTTGGTTTTGTGGGGGTTTTTTTCCCCATTAGGTTTTTTTCTTGGGATATGAGACAGAAAAGGAGGTGATAATTCTCTGATCCAGACAAGATATGTTCTTCAGGCACATCTGAACAGAACAGCTTCTAGCTGATGGTGTCTGTCAGACCATTGTCATATAATGTGTCTGATATGAAGAGTTTGTGCAAATGCCTTGCTGCTTTTTAGAATCTGCTTGTTCAGTTATTTTGCAAGAAATAAATGCACAAAAGCATGTGAACCTACAGTTTTGAAGTCAGAAGGTGGTCATATTAGTGTGTCACTGTTGCATTAAAACTATTCCTGTTCTCATTAAGGCTATGTTTGATACCTCTGATATAATAATAAGGACAATGGGCTATGACTTAGGTGTAGTAGTTCTTACAGTCAGTTCAGTTCAATAAAGTCTCTGAAATATTGCAGTGCCCAGAGAAGCCATTTTTATTAGCTTGTCCTCTTAAACTTAAGCTTCTGCTTAAGTTTACTTCCAGATTTGTATGTTAACATGGACAAACTTTCAAAGATAATAAGCCAGTTTAATCATTCAAGCTATGTCAGAATGTTAAAGATCTGACATTTGAAAGTGTGACTAGTGAAAATAACTTGTGGCCAAAATGAGCTGCTAGTGAAGAATTGCAAACTTGCATTTTCTAAGATGGTATTTCACAAAACCCGCTGGTGAAAAATAAAGAAACTAGCTCTGTGTAATGCTGAGATTAAGGCCTGTGCTTGAGTTTTGTTAGAAACTTGTGGTTGGCTCTAGAATGTTAATTAAGCATATGTAGTTGTCTCCTACAGCAGAATGTCTTCATGTTCTTTTGAAGCTAAGCAACTTGACAGTGACCCCTAACAAAGACTGTTTATAGATTGTAAAGTATGTATGTATGTCTAGCAGTCTACACTATTAGGTTGGTGGGAGTTCTTAATATGTTCTGGTAACTCACATAACTGATATTAAGTGTTGGATCTCATTATTTTCCTCCCCAAAGTTGGACAGAGCAGTTGCTTGCCTCTTTAAGTGGGAACTTAAGCTCTTGAGAACTGTCCTGGAAAAGAAGACATCTAGATTTCATTTTTCATGCTAATAAAGATACTGAATATTTTAAAAACCAAACAAACCCCACACAAGCACACAAAACCTCTCAAACCGAAAACCAACAATAAACTACACCACAAAACCACAACTTCATACTAAGTTTTCAGGTGAAGATCTAAAATTAATAGATTAAACAAATGTTTCTGGAACTTCCATAGTTTCTACTGTGAAGCCTACTATATTAATGTTTCCATGGGGAAAAAAAGCACACCTGTAAAACAAGCAGAAGAATTATCAGTAAAACCTTTTAATCAGACTTTGTCATCTGATTACTCAAAGTAAAGGGACATGTAAGAAGCATAAATGCCAGAGTTCATCTCTATTTCATGAGCAATAGATCTTCAGCTCACGTACTACCCTAAGACTGCTTTTCTGAGGGGGGGAAGAATAGCTTGAAGTAAGAGCCTGGTGTTTTATATAAAGCTAATGCTTCTTTTTCCTTTCAGAATCCTTAAATATTTTTGTTTTAAAAAAACTTTCTCCCTGTCCAACTGAGTCCCATCATGCCCCTTCCCATATCTTTTCCATGTCATGCTTCTAGATTTGCATACTGTCTGGTGGTGTGCCAAACCTGGGGTGAGAGGTAACAAGAGGGAGAAAGAAATAAATTCCCAATTCTTCCTAAAGTAACTGACTTACTGCTATCAAACAAACACATACTATTTTCTGTGGGTAAATTCCTTCTGGAAAATAAAAACGAAACCAGGCAGCAGCTTTAAAAATTTGCTAATCCTGCTTGGAATTCATTTGATGCACAACCTAAATCACTTTGTAATACTAAGGGTATGTGGATACAAGTGTGAAAAAGCCTGGAGAAGAAGTGTGCTTCTGTTTCATCTGATAGCAGTGCTGCTTTCTTACATTAAATTCAGTTTTTTCAGGAAGTTATACTTTACAGTAAGAGGATTGTGTTCTCAGCTAATGATTGAATTGTTTAATGACTTGTTTTATTAACTGTCTAAAATTTGAAGATATAGAGAAGTAGATAGTGGTGGTTGATGATTTCTTTCCTGAATGTGCTGGAATACAGCTAGTGATAGAAAAAAGGAAGAACTGAAGTGCAATTGCTTTATTTTAGAAATATTTTGTGTTTTACATTTCATCATGTATATAGTATACATTGTTACATATGTGTGTGCATATTTTTCCAAGAAATGTTTCTGTGAAATATTCATTTATATAACATGTATGTTGAATGCTGTTAGCCACCAAAGGAGAGAAATGCCTCTTGTTGAAATGTTCCTATTCTGCCAATCTAAAAGCTCTTTTGCAACTGCCTCAGCATGACTTCCCACCTGATCTTAGGTTCTGAATTAAAATTCCTTATTGATTTAAGACTCCGTGTCCTTCCTGTGGCATTTGAGGAAAGGAAGCATTAGCAGATACTTATGTTTTTTAAGATTTAGCAGTAAGAATAAAGCAATGCTATGAAAATAATTCTTTTCAAAGAATGGCTGTAGATTCTTCATTCATATTAAAAATGGTAAATATAATGAGGTGCTTGGTTTAACTTCAGTTTGAAAATACTATGAAAATACTATGTAATGTGAAATTAGGAAATGCAATGCCAGCAGGCTGGGGGAATTGATCGTTCCACTTGGCTCAGCCCTGCTGAAGCCACACCTGGGGGTGCTGAGTCCAGGTCTGAGCTATCCAGTATGAGGGAGACATGGACAGATGGGAGTGAATCCAGTGCAGGGCCATGAAAATGATTGAGGACAAAATGTATGGCATAAGAGATGAGATTGAGAAAGCTAATGCTGCTCATCCTGGAGTAGGGTTTTGGGGTGGGGATCATATAGTGGGTATGAATACTGTATGGTAGGGAATGGAGAAAGGGGAGCCGGACTTCTCAGTAGTGCCTGCTGACAGAACAGGAGGCAATGGCTATCCACTGAAAACCAGATAATCTATAAGACAAATCTTATGGTTTTGTTTGTTTGTCTTTGAGGGGGGTGAGGGGATGATGCTGGCTTTGGGTTTTTTTCCCTTGTTGGTTAGGGTGGTCAAACACTGGCACAGGTTATCCAAGGAAGGGGTGGATTCTTCTCCTTGGAGATGCTCATGTGATCCAGTTGAGCCAGCTCTAGCTAGAGCCCTGCTTGAACAGGGAGGTTAGATGATTTCAAAAGTCCTTTCCAAACTGCAATGCTGAGTGATATGCTCTGAAATAAAATGATGACAGTAAATTTTGTTAGCCTCAAGACAGAATGAGTGTCTGCTTTGGTTTAATGCCTTTTTACCTGTTTGGTAAGTACTCCCCACAAAAGTCTAGTTTGTGAAAGGACTTGAGGTCTATTGGAAAGTCAGTTTTGGTATCAAATGACTATTCTGTGGTCCATGTTATCTGTTAAGTAACTGAAATTCTTGAATGTGCATGTCTAGTGAGAACACAACATTGTTTGTTTATTTGAGCTAGAACAGGAACTTCTGTATACCCAGGAAATGTGCAGTTTGTCAGTGGCCAGAACTGGTTAGTGAGATTTGTAGAGCAGGGGTCTGTGTTGTCTTTAAATGTAGGTGAACTGTCCATAGTTTAAAGGGGTACTCAGTTTCTAGTGAGCTGTTTTAAGCTCCAAAGAGCATGGAGGTAAACTAAAGATAATCTTAATGTCTCACTGGCTAGTACTTGTACTTTACAGTTTGTGGGGTATTTGGCAGGGGTGGGAGTTTGTAACTACATTTGTTATATGGCTTAGTCTGCTTAATTACATCCTATATGACTAAATCAGCTATTGTTCAAGTGCGAAACAGGTGATGAAAAAGCGCTGCTCCAGTGGTAAAAAAAAAATAACAATATGTCATACGGAAATAAATTATTTGTAGCTTGTGACTGCTTTAAAATACTCTTTACTGAACAGTATTAAAAAAAAAAGGCAATACTGGTCTTAATTTAACCCTACACTACAAGTTCAAATGCCATATCTGGTTTTAGCTAGATATTGAAAAACATTATCATGCACAAATGGGTGCTATTTTGTCATGCATGTTTGTTGTCTTTGTGATGCATATCCATCTGTGTTGCAGAGGAAATTTATTGCTAACTCAATATGTTTATCTAGAGGCAACAGAAGAAGTTTCATTGGACAGTCCGGAGAGGGATCCAATACTTTCACCAGAACCTACTCCTGCAGTCACTCCTGTAACACCTACCACATTAATAGCTCCCAGAATGGAATCGAAAAGCGTAACAGCCCCAGTGATTTTTGATAGATCCAGAGAAGAGGTATGCTGTAAACTCTAAACTATGTGAATGTTTCATTTGGATTTTTAAGTTTTGCCTTGTTTTAAAATGCCAGCTCCTAAACATTGGTGCATGGCATTATACCTTGCTGTTTATTTTGCAAAAAAAGTTTAGTGTGAATTTGACTCATGGAAATACTGTAAGAACTCACTACTAAGGTGATTATATTTGAGATTTGTAATATTAGGAGTATTCCTTCAGAATAGATACTTTAAAAGTGTGTATAGGAGTAAGCTGTGAACTTGATACATAAGAAATGTTATTAATTAAAATAATTCTAACTAGCTTGTTACAGTTTCAGCTTGTATTTCTGAAGCTGTTCCTAACAGGGAAATTGAACAAGCAGTTTTTAGAGTTATCCTGCATGCAAACAAACAGCTGAGGGTAATTGCATTCTTAACATTTCTATTTACATTTGGTGTTCCAGTCAAAGCATGGACATTGCTGAGTGACATTCATTATAGAGAGTTCTCTTACCAGACAGTAACTTTGCCTATAAGACCCTATCCATGACTCAATGATGCCTGCTTCCCCAGATACCACATGATGGCATTTGATTCAGATTTTGCTCCCTTCAGCCCTGGTACTGTCCCTTCTGCCATGGCATTCCTTAGGATATCTCTTTTTATCAAACTTAGGTATAGTACATGAAGGATTATGAAATTCTGGAACTCAAACAAGTATCAGAGAATTTTTTATCTGTTGCTTTTTCCTTCCCAAGCTCTTCTGCTGCAGATAACTGTTAATGAAAAGGAATGTCTGTTCTTCGATTACAGGCACATGGAAGCATTGCAAATGAGAGTGGTTGTGAACCGCAGTGTCTGCTGGCATTGTAGGTGATACAATGAACAGACCCCTAAATCTCTTGTACTGGAAGCTTTTGCAGTAGGTCTTAAAACTGAAATCACAGGACCATTTAGTTTGGAAAAAACCCTTAGGATCATTTGAGTCCAACTGTAAACTTAGCACTACCAAGTTTACCCCAAGAACTTTGGTTGCAGTCACAGTCAGTGTTAGAAAGTATATTAACATCGGAAAGTATATTAACATTAGAAAGTATATTAACTGGAAATGTTTTATAATTACACAAACATAGATTTTCTCCTCCTTCCTCTATACTCTTATCCTTGTACCCATAGATAATATGGATGTCCATTACCTTGTTAAATGTGGTATATCTTTTTCCTAGATTGAAGAGGAAGCAAATGGAGATTTGTTTGATATAGAAATCAATGTATCAGACCCAGAGAAAGTTGGTAAGTTCCTTGAGCCTAAAAATTCAGATTGTAGACTGTCTTATTCCTTGAAGACTATTCTAGATTTTAGCATGATTTCCTCTTTAGTTTTCCTTTGGCAATTTTTAGTATCTAAATAGAAATCTATTTAATGTATTTTTTTTGAATGAAAAGTGTACGGCAGGATTACACTACCTTGCCCTGGGATAAGTATTTTAATTTTCTTACAGGGGATGGCATGAATGCTTATATGGCATACAGAGTAACAACAAAGGTAGGTAGTGCAACAAACATTTGTCAATACTTTGTATTGTAGCTGAGATGGATCAGTAGTTCACAATGATTTTATTTTTTTTAAGACATCACTTTCAATATTCCACAAAAACGAATTCTCTGTTAAAAGAAGATTCAGTGATTTTCTTGGCCTGCACAGCAAATTAGCAACAAAATACATGCATATTGGTTATATTGTGCCTCCAGCTCCAGAAAAAAGTATTGTAGGTAAGTGCAATTCCAATAAGGTGACACTTAAGTACTGAATGCAAAATACTCTTCTGCATAAATACTGCTTTCTTCTCAGGTGGTCCAAATATTCTTCGTGTTCTGTATTTTTTAAAGGTTCATGTTAAATGGAAAGATATGTAATGGCCTCTTCCAAATTCAGACTAGTGTTGATAATGAGAAGGATAGCTCTTAATGCATGGCCTTGTGATTCTTATCTATGATTCTCTCTTTGCTGATGCCTTCAAGAGCTGATTAGTCTAGCAAAACAAGAATGAAAGAGAGTTTATTTTTAAGTTAAGCTGTTATCAATTGCTTGCAATATATAGAGGTTCATACATGTTTCAGATCTCTGATACTTCTTTTTGCTTTTTTTTGGTCATGGTGAATGCAAAACCTCTCATAAATTTTGCAAGGTTTTAATGCAAAAAATGACTTTTGCGTTGAACACCTTAAAGGATCAGATCCTTTCTCCATGAGCTAAGAAGCATGCCTGGTGCATTAAGAGTCTTTGGTTTTGTGATCTCTAAGTAGAAGAGGTTCTTTCAAAATAGATAAATATTTAAAATAGTAAAGCTTGTTAAAGAATTTTGTGTTACTCATATAAATAAGTGACTCGAATCTAGAATGTTGTTTGATATGTAGGTAATTGCAGAACTCCTTTTCAGTAATTTAGTCTGTAAAGATAATCAGAGCAGCAGTTTTTCATGTAAGTAGGAGTGGGCAGATTGGGTAGATGTAGGCAGCAAGAGGCTTGGAAAATTCATTATTTTGCTTCTGTGGGAAAGCACTGTGTTTTTAAGCCTGTGAGACTGAGAATTTGACCTGAATTTTTGGTAATTCTTGAAGTTTATGCATAATTCTGTAATAATCAGTTTTTCCTGTAACAAAAATAAGTTTAATTCGAAATGCTAACAGGGCTCATGAGGTTCCTGATCATGTCCTTTGGATGATACAAAATTTAAGGAATTTATGACAGTGTGCATTTACATGAACATGTAGTGCTTGCATCACAGTCAAATTCAGCTTAGACTGGATTTCAGCTACCACTTGAACAAAACAGCATAAAAATTGATGCACCTGGAAGACAGTAAAATGGCGGGACATACTGCAGTGCAAGCAAGCACTGGCTGGTGCTTCAAAGTCTTGTGTAGAGACTTAACTTACAGGTAGGTTGGGAAAACTCAAATACTGTACAATATTTTCAAGAGCATGAAACTCCCTCTTTAAAGTTGAACTTCACAGGTGTTACTTAGTACTGTTCAAGAGCATGTAGTCAGTACATTTCCAGTTCTGGAGAAAAGGAGGAGTTGATTCTGGTCTGTTTTGAAATAATGCATCTTAAAGCAGAGAGCTGAGAAAACAGCTGAAAGTAAGATTATAGTCTTTACATTATGCATGTTTATGTTTAAAGTCTTAATACATAATGTCATACATTCAGTGTTATGCAGTGTGTGTTGTAAAGAAGTCCTTTGTCTGTTAATTCTGCTACACTGTTGGTAACACCTGGAGTTTAAAGCTCCAGTTTTACTGTGCTGATGAGTGGTAGAGGCTGGAATTTTAGATCTTAGCTACAAATTCAAGTCCATCAATTACTGACTGTGGAACAAAAGGATAAAAATGAGTCAATTGTGAACTGGAATTGGGCATTCATTAAGGTACTTCACTATTTACATAAGTGTGTATGAAAATCACATTTTCATTTTTAAAGAAAGTAATCTATGTCATGGATCTTTTCCTGTGAAGGAAGAGTACTTGGTCTACAGTCTTGGAAAGATTTCCAAGAGTACTTGGAAACAGTCTTTGCATTGGTGTTTAAATAGGCTTATATTAATAGAGAAAGAAATGTGGCAAGATATTTAGAAATAACTGTCATTTTTACAGGGTAGGAATTCCTCATATGTGTCATTTGTTTGTGTATTCAGTTTCTCCCTAGGAACTTCTGTTCAAAGTTCATCTATGGAGGCTCTTTTTTATTAAGCCACAGGATTTCCTTCTTCTGCAGTAAAATATTATTGTATAGTAATACCGTAATGTAAAAAGATGAGACGTGAATTACCTCAACTTCCCTTGAATACTTGAATCACTTCTATTTGAAGACATACTCAATTTTACTGACAAATTTATAGATTTAATTACATTATGCTGTGTAGAATAATTTTGGGAAAAAATCTTTATCAGATTTATTTTCATCATGTTGCAGAGGAGGGAAAAACTAAGGCTGAGAGGTTAAGAGTTTAGTCTTGTTCCTGCAAGGCTTTGCTGCGTGTCTCCTTCAGGGGTTACTGTGTGAAACTTCTGTGTCCAGAAGGGAGATTGGGTGAGGAACTTAGGTAACTGTTGACAGTGAGTACATCATCAGAATCTCAAAACTTTTAGCTCAAGAGACACAAAAGTAACAAATAAGAAAAATACTACAGCTAGAAATCAGACATCTGGGTTGTATAATAAAACACCTTTCCTTAAAATACCTTTTATTATTTGTATAAAAAAATACCTTGTGTTTCAGGAAATAAGAATAATTATTGATGTCCTGTGTTTCGTGGTGTTTTTGACTGGACTCAGGTTGCTAAACTCCAAGTTTAGATCTTTAGCATGACAAGTAGTGAGTTCAGTCTGACTGTTTTAGTTCTTCTGTTGCTGAGGTTGAATTTATTTCCTATGGCATGACACATCAATAACTAGTTGCCACTCTTGTCTTGATCAGAGAAAGCACTGTAAGGCTACATACATTTTATTCTGCTGATTCTGTTCTCCATGCAATTCAGTTCAGAATTTTCAGAACTTGTTAGTTTGCATTAGTTAATTAAAAAACTATTAGTTTTAGAACTTAAAAGAAAAAATAGTAGAAAGAAAATAATGGTACTAAGCTTACCAGTGAATAGGCTTATCAACTGAGAACATTTTTGTATTCTGCTTTATATGGTTAACTGTTTTCTTTTTCTGGATGTGAGTTGCTAGTAAGACTGATCAGCATTTACATTGTTTTCATAAATGCAAGTTAACCTAGTTTTACTTAACTATTAGTCACAATTAATATGTCACAGGAAATTGAGTATTTCACAGAGCTACTTTCACAAAACCATGCACTTTGCAGTTGATTTTTTTAATGTTCCTATGTAGTGTTTTTCACTCTAATTTGTTTTAAATGTATAAAGCTAGGTGAGCCTTATATTCTAATCACATCAGTTATGTTAATGATTTATCTGTGATAAAATCAATATGATGCTGTTTCCTTCAAGGCATGACCAAGGTTAAAGTAGGCAAAGAAGATTCTTCATCTACTGAATTTGTGGAGAAAAGAAGAGCAGCTCTAGAAAGGTAATGTGTGTATCTAACTAAAATTTATTTAGGCTCTGAATTATTTGCAGTGTACTATATGGGTTCTGTAATTGCAACACTGGTGATCTGTACTTAAGTGAATCCTGGGGACTGTATAGAACTGTCAAATTTTTGAGTAGAAATTGACTAATTCCCATTAATAACAGGAAGGGTAGCCCTATTCATAAAAAAGATTATAGCTGACTTGTTTCAGGCTTAAAATTAAGATTGCAGAGGTTCATAAATAAAACTACCATTGCAATCTTACATAGACATTTTGGGTTGAAAGAATTAAGACAATTACAGTAATGTATTTATTCTGTAACAAATCAGCTGTTGGGCAGGAAGGCAGGTGAAGAGGCCTTCAATCACTTGAAAGTAAAATGGGCTTCTGAGGATGTGCATTGATGACATGGATGTGAGTTGCTGAATTTTGGCATAAGAGATACTGGATTTCTGTCACCCAGCACTGATATATAGCGGATACTGTCAAAGTATCTTTGTTAGGAAGAGGTCCTGTCCCTGGTATACTGCCACCTTAACCTTAACTTGTACTTAATACAGAGTATGGAACAAGGGAAAAAAGTTGAGCAATCTAATGTGTAAAATAGTTTAACTGCAATCCTTACCTTCTTCAGGAAAAAAAAAAAAAGCAGATAAGGATCGGGTAAACATACCTAGTGGAGGGTGGATAAAAAATTACACTTGAGGTCTAAGCAGAAGTGCAGAAAAAAAAAAGGAATGAGTTACATTGAATTGTATTTGTGCATATATGATAACTAAATGGATTGAAGACTCTTGTCTATCCAGCACATAAATAGTTTATACCTAGACTAGAATCAACTAACTTGTCCAAGATTCCCTATAATTCTAAAATAAATCAGCCAGAATTGCCTGTAACAAAAAGACTGTCCACTGCAGTGCACAAAAATGTTTAAACAAGTTCATTTTGTTTTCTGGAATAAGCAGGTTAATAAAGGAGTCTTCACTCAGCTGTTTAAAATAAGAAGCATATTATTTTCCCACTGTGCAACATAGATATGGCAGGCCCCACCTTAAGGAGTTTCTGGTGTAAACAAACTGTGATGTGAAACACTACCCAACCTTTAGTATGTTACATTGTGGTATGGAGTGCATGGCACTATATTAGATTCAGTCAGGCACATTAGATCTGTTCTATTACCTGATATTTTAATTTTTAAAATCATAGGTATCTACAACGAACAGTAAAGCACCCAACCTTGCTACAGGATCCAGATTTGAGACAATTCTTGGAAAGTTCTGAGGTATTTATGTTCCTTTAACTTCTTTTATTTATTTCTAAATATGGTATCCTACCAAGCAATATATTCACTTTATAAAATTAAGACCTAATCCCCTAAATTAATATGAAATCAAATTGGACCATACCCTTCATGGCTAGAATGGCAGAGGCTACTTAGGTAATGGTGTGCCTCAGGCTCTGGTAAAACTTACAGTGCTAGTGACAAAAAGCTATTTGCTGTATCGTGACTTCTCAAGTGAGTCGGTCTGTTCAGTTCTGATGCTTGTTAAGTAAGATCTAAAATTAAACTGGTTTGGAAGCAGCTCTTTTGCATCTAGGAATTCAGCTTGGGGTATATTGGTAGGATAATGTGAAAATGCTGGCAGTGCTGCTCACTAGGCTAGGTATTTTTCTAAATAAGGATTTCAGTTGCCTGTACTATTAATCTGGTACCTTTCACAATATTAAATACATTGTTAAAGATACAATGTATGTCTTTATAAATGTGCATAGTGGTTTCACTCTAATACTGAACTGTGTTTTGGCTAATGTCAGTATCTTAGTTATACTAATACGTCACAGAGGCCTCCCTACTGACAAAAGCATCAATAGATAACTTACAGTGGGTTTGTCAATGCTGCTGACAGACAAAACATCACATGAAGGGTAAATGGTCTGACATAGGGGCCACCTTGTATAGCATATACAATCTAGCCTGAATAATAATATCAACTAAATTTAAAGTTTGTTAATTTAACTCCGAGTGTGTCTCAGTACCAAAGCAGATAACATACTTGAGGTACATTTATAGCCTTATATTGAAAAGCAAAAAGTCATCAGCCTTTTATTATCAGCATGCAGTGTATGTGTTGCATTACAATTAAATGTGTAACAGAATTTCCTTTGTGTAATTTGTTATAAATCTAAGCTTTTCTGTTCCTGTAGTGGCAGTTTGTTTATTGTAGCATATAGGTGGCCATTTAGGACATTTGGCTAGTTCATAACAGCTTTGGACAAGTGGTTTGTTTGTTCCATTTAAATGTAAAGATGTAGAAGAAAAGCAAATAGTCTATATTTTTAAGTTTTCCTCTTGAGAATGTAGAAGTAGTAAATTTGAGAAATTAGATTCCACTATATTGAAACACATAGGACTAAAGAAAACACTATATCCTTTTCTTTCCCCCTTGTGCCCAGTTAAACCTCCATCCTTTTAACCAGTCTCTTTGCCCTTATTTGTCATTCAATTCCAGCTGCCGAGAGCAGTTAACACCCAGGCTCTGAGTGGAGCAGGAATATTGAGAATGGTGAACAAGGCTGCCGACGCTGTCAACAAAATGACAATCAAGATGAATGAATCGGATGCAGTAAGAGCTGATTTTTCGGCTTGAATAATGAGATGAATTAATGAGCCTCAACAATTGCATTTTAAAGCTGTAGAAGTAGAAAATGGGTTATTAATTTCCTTATTGGCTTGAATTCTTAGCTGTATCAGTTGACCACCCTGGAAGTATCTGGATAATTTGCTTCTTTAGAACCAGAAATATTTTTGGTAATCTAATTTGTAATGCTTGACTCTTTCATCTTTTGTCAGTGGTTTGAAGAAAAACAGCAGCAATTTGAGAATCTGGATCAGCAACTTAGGAAGCTTCATGCCAGTGTTGAAGCATTAGTCTGCCACAGAAAAGGTAACTTTACTTTTACATGAACCTTAGGAAATGGTGATGAAACAAGAGCTCAGCATGTCAGAACTCTTAACTAAAATAGTTACACGACGTATTTCAGTACAAAAATTTTCTTCTTGTATCTTCTATTTTAAACTGCTTCGGTATTTTTGTATACCTGCCTTTAATTTTAAATTTAACCAGGGTATCTGTCATTCCTAGAGTTACTCTAATGATCTAGCATATTTTTTTTCCCTTGCACAGTGTCATTATCAGACCTAGCAAGTGATTCTACTACAGTAGACATCCATTAATTTATCTTTAGGTCTCATGGCAAGAGTAATTTCTTTCTGAACAAAAAGTGGCTGCATAAATCCATTTAAACATCTTTTGGTTCAGTATTGCTCTGTTAACTGAGTTTAAGTGCTTACACAGGAATATCTTATTCTTAATTTAGTCTGCATAATGATATACCCTCAAGCTACTGTTAAGGTAAACTTTTCTGGGAAGATAAGTAGTCACAGAATATTAGCTTTTTGTTTGCTTATTTTAGATAGAAGCAAAACCTGTAAGCCTATGTTGCAATAACCTGTGCTGCTCTTTGACAGAGATGGATTTCTATCAGGTTATTAAAAAAACCCAAACATAATAAAAACCAAACCAAACGAGACAAAACCCTAAACAAACCACAATTATGAATTTGTAGCTCAAGAAGATGCTAAGTGTGCTTTCTGATAATATTTTAGTATGTTAAAATATGATGTTACCTTTGAGTGCTTCCAAAATACGTGAAAATGTCATAAGTTGCTTTCTCATAATTCTAATCAAGAATTGCTCTCTGCAGTAAGAATATCTTTAGCCACCTATCCTCAAGGCTAAGGAGTATTTAAGAAGTAATGGAAAATGGAAATCTTTATTTACGGTTGATTTGACACCTTATAGATTTGAAGAAGGGTTGGATCATTGTGTTTTTTCTAAGAGTTGCGTTCAAATTGTAAAGGTTTTAAATATCTGAATACAGCTTCCTTCTGCAATCACTTCTGGTGTTCTGATGGTTCTGCAGGAGCAGCAAAAGTGCAAACTAACCTGAAGTAATTTGGACCAAACATTTGTTCAAAGGTCCTTCATGGAACTAAACTTTGTACAGGATTACTTACATGGGATTTGAGACAATTGCACCAGTATTTGTTAATAAATAAGCTCAAAACTTCACTTCCACAGATGCTGATAGTATGTGAGCTTTGGTTGTTTTTTATTTTAAGGCATATCAGAATGTGACAATACATTACAGTATGCACATGTAAAAGTTACTTAAAGTCAATAAACAACCCAACAGAAATTAATTCCACTCATGGGAGTGGTGATTTTGTGAAAGGGTTGGTTTTGTTTCTGTGCTGAACTAAATGGAAAATATGTGCTGTAAACCTATTAAAATTGTTCTGAAAATTTGCTCTGTGGGTAACTTAGCTTTTGTTTTGTCGGTTTGCATTTTTTCTGAAGTAGACAATCGGATAATACTGAAGTGACTTTTTTTTCATATCTTTTTGCTGAGCAGAGTAAGCATGACATTAACAGACTTGGCAAAGCATTTACTGATTGAGAGTTTTTTTGCACAGGAGTCTTTCTCCTAAATGTGGTTTCATTGTGATGTCCTTGTGTATCTTACTGTGATCTTTACCTTAATTTCAGTTGGTCAAGTAAACCTCTGCTCCACTGATTTATGCTGCAGAGTAATATAATAAATTAACTAAATCATGCTGAACATTACTCCTGTGTTTCAGAGCTTTCAGCCAACACTGCTGCCTTTGCTAAAAGTGCTGCCATGTTAGGCAACTCAGAGGACCACACTGCTCTGTCTAGAGCTTTGTCTCAGCTTGCAGAGGTTGAGGAAAAGATAGATCAGTTGCATCAAGAACAAGCTTTTGCTGATTTCTATGTGTTCTCAGAACTGCTTGGTGATTACATTCGTCTGATTGCTGCAGTAAAAGTGAGTACTACTAGGAAAAATACTGATTTAGCATTTAAAATCACATTCCTCAGCATATAGGTTTAGGGTAAATGAATGTGTGCGTTTGCTCATGTAACACAATTAAGTTTTTGCCTGGTGTTCTAGCGGGGTAAAGTGAAAGCACTCATGAGTTATTTCAGTGATAAAAATGGCTGTGATCAAAGATGTGAATGGAGTGGTTAGATCCAGAAAAAATGGAAATCTACTTTGAGCAATACTGATATTGTACAGTATTTGGGGATACTGTACTGTACTGTGTCTAAGCATACAGCACCTGTTTATTTCAGATTACTTACTGTTATGTAAGCATACATAAATATGGAAGACCATAATTTGGTATTCTATATTTAGTAGATAGCCAGTAATGTCTTTAAATAAGAAAAAACCCCAGTTTGTGGATCTACATGTCATTTAAAAAAATATTCAATTTAAGTGTAAGCTATGCTGCACAGCATGATTATGTTTAGACATAAGAACAGGTATCTGTGAATTTCTTTCAGAAATACCTTTGAACTTATCAGGTTGTTGGAAGTACATATTTTTCTTTTGACTTTGTTTCTCTTTTTTTTTTTTTTATATGCGTACTTCACTTCTGCTGCCTTAGTCTGTTGCTAACATAAATGTGTTGCTGAAAATGCGTGTAATACATATGCATGAACAGTTTGCTAGTATCTGCAGTTAGAGAATTGTTTGCATGATAGAGCACTTCATAGTGGTTGTTTTGGTAGTGCTTTGATAAAATGAGGGACATAAAATGATTTGGAGCACTAAAGTGTCTGCTATGAAAAGGGTTCTTGAACAGCCTGTCATTTGTGGAAGGTACTGAACTGTGCAAGCACGATGTCAAGTGAAATGCAATACATGGTAGACACGCTAAGGTTTCTTTGAGTATACTACTTGTTTTAGCTTTATGCTAGAATTATTTTTTTTTCTACTGAGAATTTAGATAGGCCTAACAATTCCAGTTGTTCAAGAAGTTTGTCTATTCTCACAGGGTGTGTTTGACCATCGAATGAAATGCTGGCAGAAGTGGCAAGATGCTCAGGTCACTTTACAAAAAAAACGTGAAGCTGAGGCAAAGCTCCAACTAGCCAACAAACCTGATAAATTACAGCAAGCTAAAGATGAGATAAAAGAGGTAATGTTATCAAACATTATTTTGGAGGTCAGACTTTCTGCATCAGCTCATTCATTCTGCATTAATGCTGCTTTATACCATTTTTGTTTACAAATCACTTACTTGCTGTTTCCAATATTTACTGAAACTTTTAAAAGTAATTTACTTAAAACACTAAATGTGTGCAATTTTTACTCATTATAAGATCTGTAAGACAGTTAATACTGTCTCTACAGTCTGGGAGATGGGAGGGAGGGAACATGGACAAGTTGATGCTTTTAACTGCTAACAGCTCACTTGGATAGGCAGAGGAGCCTTTCTTGGTTTCTAGCTGACTGGGTAAATCCAGCAAAGACAGCTAATAGAGAGCTATTCCTATGTTTTGCTTAAATATGCAGCTTTTCTACCCATATATATGTGCATGTATATATGGTGTAATTTCAGTAAAAATAAATCTAACATGTTGAAGTGTCATAATTTATACACTTTTTCTATCATGCTTCACTAAGGAAATTGAAGAGGTAGGACAACTTAATTATTTAACACTAATGCATTCTGAGTATGCTCTAGTGCTCTCCCATTAAATAATGGAAGAATGTTATTGCGGATTTCAAGCTCTTTTACACAGTTGCTTTGTTTGGCTTCGTCATTGGTCACTAACCACATGCTCCTTTGTTCTTTTTGCCCTTTGATATATTTCACATACAGTATTTAAATTACTCATTAACTTGATTTTCTTTTCCTTAAAGAAGTCCTTTGTTTACTGAGAAAACCTACAATTACTCTTGTGTGACCACATTCTTGTTGATTGCCTCTACTGATGCACAATAAATTTCCTGATTACTGGTAGCAGTGGGAAATAGTGGTTGTTTCCCAGTCCCAATATTAAAGCAATTGCTTTTTTCTCAAGGAATTATTTTTCCTGCATTATTGGATAACTAGAGAACATTTTTAGTAAACCCACAGTTTGAGTGTGCCAGTTGAAAATCTCACTGGAACTGAAATGTGTTCAGAATTGCTGAATTCTGTAATAGTGGACCTGCTGGCAGAAGAATTGCAAAGTGGAAGCCTAAGCAGCTTGAACATCATCCATGACTCAGTTGGTTTTTGTGGGTAAAAGGACAATGGATGGTCCTAGAGATATCTTATTGAATGAGAAATTTCTCGTTGTCAGATACTATAAAATGGCAAACTGTTACCCAATAAAAATTCACATAGGACCTGGGCATGATGAAACTGAAATGTAGAATTCATTAGGCCTATAGAAGCTTTCACAGAAATCTCAGGCACCTCTGTTTGACGTGGTAGGAAGGTATGGGCAATCCTAAACTGTTTTTTATACTATTTAGTTACTAGCTAACTGTTCAGGCTGATCTTCCAAGAAGATACTATTATGACTTACTAAAAGGCTTCATAATGTATATCTAAAAGGTCAGCCAGGGAACTGTGAATAAATACATACTAAAAATATAAATATGGAGATGTTTATTGGAACATAGATGATGTTTATCTCATACCACAGTAGAAACTTGACACTGCATCACAAAATACTTTTGTGAAATAAGTAGCACCACTGGATTGCTAACAGCCAGATGCTACATTGAAGCATGTTGCTTCCCTACTGCTTTTTTCTGATGAAGATAAATGTTACTGAATGTATTCGTTCTCAGTTAATATGTTGAGATGAACAGATACGGTTGCATTTCAAAGAACTGCTCGCCTTCTGTGGGGCTGTCCGTTTATCTCCACAACCAACTCAACAATGTAATAGGTGTGTAAAAGCAGTTACAGGGCCACGTAGATGCTGATGATCCTTCTTGTCTAGCTGGATTCTTTTCACAGCAACCAGGAGAAACAATCTGGTGTCATATATTGTTACAGGAATGCAATGTTCCCAATATGGTATAAACCCATAACAAACATCTCTTCCTCTGAATTTTCCTCTAGTGATCTTCTTACCTGCAGTAATGTTTCTAGTCCAGCTTTCTGTGAAAACAGTTGCCACTGAAAAAGAAGGCTTGTGCTTTGGAAAGCAGATAAGCACATCCTCAGAGGCTTGTCATTTGCAACAGAAATGTGATAGCAATAATCAAATACTTGACCAGAGGCAGAGATGAAGGTTTACTCATCTCTTCTGGAATTAGGAAAGTATGGGGAACTAACTTGAGATTTTTCCAAGCTTGATTGGACAGGTTTAGGTTCCTTTGTATGAAGTTTGTAAAGGGAATAGTAAGTAAAGTCTTTGAGATCCATTTTGTTTTCTAACGAATATTTTTTAAATGTTGTTAAATGTTTATAATAGCTTAGTACAGTTCCCTGTACTAAGATATTTTTACATTTTATCTACAGATAGCATTGGCTTAAAGATACCTTTGTTGTAACTGATCTGATGACATCCTATAACACAAAGCTGAAATTGTTACTGTAAGATTTTCTTTTAAATAAGCCAAAACAATCAAATAGGTCCTTTTAGCTCTTAAGTGACTATCAGTGTGCTAAAAAAATTACAGGTAGACTGAATGGACGACACAAAATCTTACCTCTATATGTCTTTCCTTTGCCAGTGGGAGACAAAAGTTCAGCAAGGGGAAAAAGATTTTGAACAGATCTCCAAAACCATTCGCAAGGAAGTGGGAAGATTTGAGGCATGTATAATTTTTTCCAAGTAAATGAGAGCTCTACTGTACATAATATTAACATTATAAGTAAAATTTGTTAAGAAGTTAATACGCCATAATTTATTTATTAACAGAAGGAACGAGTGAAAGACTTTAAAACTGTTATTACCGAGTACTTAGAGTCGTTAGTGCAAACACAACAGCAGGTAAGATAAATTTTAAGCTTTGTACATGTTAATAAATAATACATGCTGTATTAGGTTAGTTAGAAAAATATGGGCTTTAAGCACAGCTGTTTCTAAAACATCAAGAGCTACTAGTCTGTGCCCTATTGGTGAATGACTTGATGATTGCAGTTTCCCAACCCATGCAGAACTGTAATTCAGTGAAGCAACGGAGAAGTTCCCTTAGGGATATGGGCAAGCAGAGGGTTATCTTGTTATCTTCTCAAACTGAATTAGTACTTTTACTTAGAGATTGGAGTAAATTGTAATCAATATGTACTTACACTTACTGAAGAGACTTGGATTCTTAAATGTTTATTGCTCTTTTTTAAGAATATAGAATACTATTGGATATTGAATATTGGAAAGTATTAAATATTGAATATTGGAAAGTATTAAAACAGTTTTCAGTGTCTGAGAAGTGGGTCTTGTTACTAGAAAAATCCAGGCTCTTTTTTTCTGCTCATGGCAGGAATAGAACCCTCCAGCTTTGTTTAATTTAAAAAACCTGAAAAACAGTGTCTTAAGTGGTAAGAAGTGACTGATCTTTCAAAAAAATCTGTATCCTTTTATTCTATAACATTGTGTTCAGCATGTGGCAACATATCCATAGTTATGAGGAGATTTGTGTATTTAATACTTGTGTTTTTTCTTGCACTATGTAAAAATATTAATGAATAAGTACCTGCATTCTTACTTTGTCTCATGGAGGCAAGTTTACTGCAAGAGGAGGTAGGTATGCAGGGTGGTTTTCAACATTTAGTACCTAATGAGTGATTTTCCCTTCTCTTCAAGCTAATAAAATACTGGGAGGCATTCCTACCTGAAGCCAAAGCCATTGCCTAGAAGAAGAATATTCCAATTGACAAGACACTCTGGATGTTTGTTCTGGATAAAACTAAATTCCACAGTGAAATCACTTTAAATCATCCAAATAAACCACTATATATTTTATGAATTAACATGTGGCTTTTTTTATATACCACAGCATTTTATTAACAAGCTGCATGTCCTGACCCTCTTTGAAGTGGACTGTGGTATGATGTTCTGCAATACATTGCTGAATTGAACACTCTTGTGTCTTAATCCTTGCACTAAAACGTGCACTGCAAGGCCTGAAAGCTGATATTTTTGTTCTCTACAACACAATGTTCTGTAGTATGTTCACCTGATCTTTATGAAACAAATTTAATTGCATTGATTAATGTTCACTTAAACATTCCTGTACAAAATCATGTTTTTGTGATTACAATAATAAAGGGATGTACCTTGTGAAATGTTAAATGTGCTTGTGTCTGTTGATACCTGCTGGTGTTATTAGGAGTATTGTCTAGAGCAAATTAAGATGTATCCAGGGCAAACCCAACATTTTGCAAAGAGTGATGGAGAAGGTATTAAAGATGCACAAACAATTGCCCGTGGTAAATTGTTCTTGTTTAAACTGTAAATCTCTTTGTTACAGATGTTCTTTTCACTTGAAGTTATCACTGCCTTGGCAAATTCTACTGTGTTAGTACTCATAGGGTCAAAAGACATGCTTGGGCAACAGACAGATATAAACTGAAATCTTCTTCAAGTTTTTACAAAGCTTCTGCAGAATTAAAATCACCTGCTTGGTCAAACACTGATGTCTTACTGGACTGACACACTGCATCAGTTGTATTCAGTTGTCATCTCAGGATACAAAAATAAAAAAAAAAAAAAACATCTTGCAGTAATTCTGGTAATAGTTGAGGAAGAAAAGTGGGTAATTCAGCTGAATGTTTGATAATTGTAAGAGCTAGTATTCTGTTTGGATTTTCTTCAGTAGAAAATATATTTGAAGGGACTGGTTATACCTTTTGCAAGAAATCAGAGCATGTAAACATTTTTCTGAAATACACAATATTAATGTAAGATGTGATGTCCTATCATTTTAATAACATACTGAGTTTGTTGATATATTAGTATTAATGTTAACAAATTTTAGGCAAATATACTCACATAAAAAAGCAAGAGAAGCTGTTCCTTTCAGCTAATCATAAGACTGCAGGATAAACACATGAATTTGTATTGTTTGGGGTCAAATATAAAAGAGCACATAATACCATTTCTGAACAGAATGGAAACCTCGATTCAACTGGAAGGTCATACTCTATTTTTACAATAAAGTTAGTGTAAACTTGATTAGTATTTGCTATTGTTTCTCTACATACCTCTCTTAATTCAGTATTTCGAGGAGTTTTCAAGGAAACTAGAACAGAAAACCCTCACCAAAATTTATCAAGCCTAAATTAAGCTTCTTTTTAAATGGTTAAATGCCAAAGCCTTAAGTGAATAATACCCTTATGCATCAGTGTTTGTTCCGTCATTGATCTTAAAACTGCCTTTTGAAGAGCTCAAGTATGCAGGAGATTTATGATGAAGAAACTGATCTAGGCATAAGACTCTGTAAAGTGTTACAATGTACTTAATGCTGGCTTACTTGCTGCTCAGTAAAATTGACCAACAGCTCAGTATTAAACTTACTGCTCATAATATATATTGCTTACACTGAAATTGATATTTCCAGAACTAAAAGACTCAGTTTGGACATGGCAAGGTCAAAATAGGTGAACATATCCTTTCATGATTTTTTTTTCTTTTTTCTTTATTTATTTTTTCTTTTTTTCTCTAAGTGCCCAGCTTTCTTAGCTCTTGATCTCTTTTTGCTTCCATCAGGGTTACAATTCATTTGAATGATGGATCACTTTTCTTCTCTTGTGACAAGAGAATAAGAAAGTCTGCTAGCAAGGATTAGTGTGGCTGTCCATACCAGTCAACTGAAAACAAGAATGAGTTGTGCAAGTTTTTCTCAAAACCAGAAGCCTTTTGGGGAACAGAAAGATAATGGCATATCTGGAGTTCACTGTCACACAGGGTTCGTTACTAATACAAAAGATTCCAGGGTTTTTTTTTCATCACAAGGTTAGCTTGAGCAGAATATCCAGATCAGCTGTTACATTTGGCTAGCATAAAACTCTTGCTGTTTCAAGAAGCCATTAATGATCCTGAGATTGGCTCAATTGGCTGATAATGCCAAGGCTCTGGATTCAAGTCCCAGGTGGGTGATTCATTTAAGAGTTGGACTTCATGATCTTTGCAGGTCTCTTTCAACTCAAAATATCCTGTGATATGGAAATTTATTTTGTTTTTCTTCCCCTGCATTGTGAAGATTGGGGATCTGGTTACCGTCTTTCCTCATGTGACTAACATCTGTATTAGCAGAAAAATTTCTCAACCCAAGTGAATGGACTCCTCTATTACTGAACTCTTTACTCTGTGGACCTCACTACTAGCTATTGTACTAAATTTAAGTGTGCATTTCATTAAAACTACAAGCCAATGTACCACTGAAGAATCACTAGCATAAGCAAAAAGTAAATGTTTGCAAAATGATGAGCTGTATTTGGAATACTGTATGAAAGACAAGGTGCTACTGAATTCTAGTTTACTTTTTAGGTTAAAATAGAATGCAGATATTTGCAACAAATTCTTCTATTCATCATGTCCATCATCCTTTTTAAATTAAATGTAAATAACATAAAGTGACTCAAATTGAAGACATTGTTATTTCTTTCTTAAGCTGATGTTCAGTGTACAGTAAGTCTGTAATTCTTTCATCACTATCCGTTTTAAAACAGAATATTCTGCTTCCCTATCAATTATTCTTTCTTCTACCTCTCCTAAGTTATTTCCCTCTGAAAGCGTCATATGGGAATTTGTTTCAGCTTCTGTGGAGTTCATGCCCCAAATACGTCCGTTTCTTTCAAACTGTGGAGATGAGCTGCTGGCTGGTAGGTCCTGTACATTTAAGAGAACAGGCAACATCTACTAAAATTATGTGTACAGTGAAATGATTGTCTCAAGGAAAAAAAAAATAGAAACAAAACCCCATTGGGGTTATATTTTTTTCTCTCCTTCCACTGTAGAGTAGAACAGGCTATGTAATAATCTTAATTTGTGGCAAAATATGAGTCTATTACAAATGTGGGGGAAAAAAGGCAATATTTTAGCAGGTTAGAAGCTGAATTTTCAGGTTGTTCAGAATGTTACTTGTTACCTGCTTGGACGATTCTTCTTTTAAAATTCTTGTCTTCCATAGTTGAATCAATAATAGTAATTGCAGTGGTTGTAACTTGTTAGTAATCTTTGGACTGTACTGGTGAAGTCATTCCTTCCCTTTCCCCTCCCCCTCCCCAGATCAGTGAGGAAATGATTAACAAAGGAGAGGGGTAAAAAATAATCCAAATTTTTTTTCTCTTATTAAGAAAGAAGAGTACACAAAGCAGTGTAGGCAGACCTGTCCTAGGATATTCATATGCAAGCTAAAATTAAAGAAATATGCAATGGAAATGGAAGGGCAAGAAAAGACTAGAGATAATTTATCTGTGGTTTAATTTTGTGAGTTGACTTCAAATTAGTTTTTTAGCAATTGAAAAATTGACAAACTTAGATTGTGATCTAATTAAGGACTGTTTTTTGATCTGGCCTCTTGTTTTGATGTGTATTTTACTTATCACTGAGAATTTTTGTATGGGTTTCTTTGCCTACTTCTATTCTGGAAATTAGCCATTCAGAAAGTCCTTGAATCATGAGAATTACTGGAAAGTGATCTTTCAGATTTGCCTGCAATTATTCCTTTTTCTCTCCTGTGAATCATTCTAACATCATGGATGCTAAATTCCCCCTCCCTGTATGAGGAATTGCATAGTGATTCTTTTGGAAAAAAAATAAACACAGAAGTGGCCAGTAAAGGGGCAGATTGATGGTTCCTAGTTTCTGTAATTATGGATGGTTAGGTAGAATCTGATCACAGGCAATAGTTACAGCTGGAGTTACAGTATATTATGAATTAATTTTATATTCTGGATCAAGGTAATTTAAGAATAAAACCCAAGATATTGATAGGTGCCACAACACCCAGCACTGAAGACCAACACTTCCTAGAGTACTTTTGAGAGTCTGCTCAACAGATGAATTTGAAGACAGTCTATGTCACTGTTAGCAGTAGAGTTCAACCATTTTACAGTTTCACTTTTAGGATTACTAACATAATTTTAATGCATGTTATGCCAGTTCAAGTCAAGCTACATTTGAAGTATTTTCACCTTGCTTTGTGTTTTGTGGGAACAATTATTGTAACATCTGTGCAGTTAGCTTTTAAAGACCTGGATGATTTTGAGCACACTTTGATAGCATTGTATGAACTAATGTTTCTTAAATTTTTGATCTTTGGTGTGTTAGACAGAAAGACAATCTTGGCCAGCCAGCCATGGGAAGAAATCCTTTTTCTTTCTTCAGATGTAACTCTAAAGATTAGCCAACTAATGATGATATATTGTGTAAATTAAGTATTTAACATTCCAAAACATATTGACGAATTTGAATTCAGCTCACCATGTAATCTTCCTTGTTCCTCTTGGCTGATGCACAGTCAAAATTTCCATTATATTCTATTGAATTTGAAACCAGATTAACGTCTAAAACGTTTCTTTGTTAATAAGTTATATTAAAGAGAAAAGTACCTTTTTGAAATTACTGCTTATTAGGTTGCAAACAGCCACAAACAGTGCTCCTATGAAATTCTTCTACTGACTTCTCAGCGTAAATCCATTATGGCACAAGTGGTGTCCTAAGACTTATCCCTCTGGTTTTTATTAGAGGGAGAACAGAAACTACATCTAAAGACTGGATTCTTAACCAGAAAGTAACAGTAATGATAGCATGGTAATTTTTACCTAGTATGCCCACGTTTACTAGAGTGATAAGACTATTATCATATGGCTAATCTTTCATTGGGACTGTTGTAATATCTTTATCAGAGGGTGCTTTGTGGGGGAATGGGATTTCATACACACCTTTCAGTAAAAGGACATGATGGAGAACACATGGGGGCTGGAAACATTGCTCTTGTCACACTACCACAGAGCAGTGCTGGGACTGTCCTGCTGGTTGTCAGCAGTTGAGGACACTGGCCCAGGAGCAGTGTTGTGCAGAAACAGATGCTTGAGAAATATCTGGCTCTGATTTCAGGTAATTATTAAAAAATTTTGGTTTGTTACTTCACTTTAGCTTAACAAAGTAAAATAGTGTTAGTTTGCTTAAGTCTTCTTGATTTAAGTCAAATGATGTCTACTTTGTATTGCATCCTTCAAGTCACAGTTCTTTGCTTAGAGCAAAATATAATTAAATTTACCTTTCAGTAAAATAAAGAGATATGGAGGGAAAATGGGCCTGTAATTTGGCACAGTGGCACTCGAGGATGCAGGACACACTTTTATGGTGCAAAGAAGAAAAGGATAGATCTCAGCTTATTTTGTGTGCCTCTTTTTGTAGAGTTTTTAAAGAACATCCCATGTCTATCCCCAACTGGTCAGTAACAAGTTGTTACCCTGTATTTATTGGTCACTCAAACTCCCGGTGTGTACACACAGGAAAAGTTCTTTGTGAGAGATAGTTTTCATTTTTCTGTCTAACGGTGTAAAAACAGTTTATACAGGTGGGTAGTATTTATCACAGCACTAGAGTTCTTTCTCAGGGGAACCAGGTTGTTTTCCACAGACTTACAGCTCTTTCTCAGGGAAAACAAGTTATTTTTTACTGCTGCAGAACTCTGTTCTCAAGAGCTGTCAGCTTTCTCATCGCTTCTGTTGGCTCGAGTCAGAATTCAGTTTGTCGGCCTTTGGCCTGCTGTTTCCCCACCACAGTAATGTTTCCCTCTCCCTCTCCCTCTCCCTCTCCCATGCTATTAATCTAGAAAGAAACAAGTTAGTTTTCAAAATAAATTTCAAAAAGCTCATAGCATAAGCCACAGACATCAGATAAATTTGTTTTCTGACCATTTTTGAGGTATGTTTTTGTACTTGGATCTACTTGTGAAGATCAAACCCATCAAAAAAATGGATTTATCACAGTAGCTACTCCAAAAGATCAGTGAGAGTGTGAGGTCGTCTCAGGTAGTGCCTGAGACTCTCCAGACTCACAAGGTGAGTTTTAAGATACACTGTTTAATACAGTGGCAGTTTGTTGACATTTTGCTTCCAAATGGTTTGGAGCTTGGAATTGGCAAATTTGCGTGAAGTCAAAGCAGTTGCCTGTGCCAACAGCCTGGCCTCCTAAATTCACTTCGTGTGCATTTAGAAACCTTCTGCCTCCATTATTCTTTAAGCCATCAAAACAGCTGCCTATTCTGGAGTCTTATTTAATTTCTCCAGTGGTGAGGAATCACCTACAGTTCTCTGAAATTATATGGTTTCCTTTGCTAAATAACAAAGTTAAGAGTTGGCTTCTTGGGAACACACACAACACAGGGAACTTTCCTGAGTGCCACTTTTTTTCCCCCTTTTAATTTCATGTCTGTTCCCAACAGGCACTACTAAAGGTGCTGCATTTGTTTATTGACTGACCTAGTCATAGCAGAAGGCTGTGCTGCTATTCAGTGGGCTTGGTGGACTGCAGCATTGAGCGGCAAGAAGTGGCATGAGGTTCAGTAAGAGCAAATGTAGGGTCATGCACAGGAGTAACATATACAGGAATAACCCCAAGTACCAGCACAGGCTGGGGCTGACCTGCTGGAGACCAGCTCTGTGGAGAAGCATTTGGGAGTCCTTGTGGATGACAAGCTGGACATGAGCTGGCTGTGCCCATGGTGTCCTGGGGTGCGTTGGGAAGACTGTGGCCCACAGGTGGAGGGATGCCACAGTGATGCCACATCTGGAGTGTTGTGTTCAATTCTAGTGTTGGTACCAGAAAGACGAGGTACTACTGAAGAGGGTCTGGTGGAGGTCAAAAAATTATAAGGGATCTGGAGAGGAGAGACTGTGGGAACTGGGCCTGTTTAGTCTGCAGAAGACTGAGAGGGGATCTCATTAATCTCAAAGTCGGGTGCCAAAAGGATGGTGCCAGATTCTTTTCAGTAGTGCCCAGCGGTAGTACAAGGAATAATAGACATAAACTACAACACAAGAAATTCCACCTCAGCCTGAGGAAGAACTTTACACTGAGGGTGGCAGAGCACTGGAACAGGCTGCTCAGGAGGGCCAGAGTCTTCCTCTCTCCCTTTCTCCAAACCCATCTGGATGTGTTCCTGTGTCACCTGCTCTAGGTGACCCTGCGTTGGCATGGGGTTGCTTTTGGTGATCTCCAGAGGTCCCTTCCACCCTAATGATTCAGTGATTCAGGTTTGAGCTGCGGTGTGAATTTAGGACTGGATAAATTCGGCCCTCCGGAATTTAATTTTTTTTCCCCTCCGCTTTTTGTGTGCTCCGCAGTAGTGCTGCAGCTCCGGCTGAACCAGAAGCCGACGCTGTGGAGCTCCGTTTGTTTCAAACCACGTTTTTTCCAGAGGAACCTTGTCCCGCCTCATCCCGGCAGCGCGAGGGGCTGCGGGAGCGGGGCCGAGCCCGCCACCTGCCCCGCCCATGTCACGTGGTGCGTGGTCACGTGACGGGCGTGCAGATGGCGGCGGCGCTGCCGCCGCGCTGAGGGGAGCCGGCATGGAGGTGTTCATCCCGTCCTTCCGATACGAGGAGAGCGAGCTGGAGCGGGGATACACGGTGAGGTGCGCCGGGGCGGGGCACGCCCGCGCCTCGGGGAGGCCAAGTGCCGGCAGCCAGCAGGGGCTGCGCTGCGGCGCTGTGCAGACATCAGTGTGCCGGGGCCGTTCTGCCCTCCGTACCCATGCCGGCCCCGACCTGCCCTGCCCAGCCGTGCCCTGACCAGCGCAGCCCGTCCTGCCCCGCCAGCCTTCTCCCCAGCTCTGCCCAGCCTTGCCCCGCCCTGCTCTCTCCAGCATTGCCCTGCTAACCGTGTCCTGTAGAGCCATCCCAGCCCTGCTCTGTGCACCCCAGCCATGTCCTCCATGTCCAGGCCGGCCTGGAGGGAGCCGTGCCCTGCCCAGCGCAGCCCATCCCTGCTCTGCTCCTCTCGGCACGGGAAGGATGGCCTCAGCCTGCCAGACACCTGCTGCCTCACTCGGGCGCTGCTCTGCGGGGCAGCAGCGGCAGAGGCGGGTGCGGCGTGAGCGGCAAGGGAGGGGAGGCAGCTGCTCCCTCGCCGCTCCGCCCTGCAGGGTCCAGGTGAAGGGGCTGGAGTATCTCTTGCATGTGGAAAGGCTGAGAGAGCCGGTACCGCTCATCCTCGAGAAGAAAAGGGGCAAGGACGTCTCTTCAACATGTACAGATGACCTGAATGGCCAGAGAGAGAGGGCCAGACTCTTCGTGTTGGTGCCCGGTGACAGGAGAGGTGGCAGTGGGCAAACACCAGCACACAGGGAATGCTCTTCAAACATATGACAAGACTGGCTTGTTATCATGAGGGTGGTCGAGCACTGGCATAGGTTGCCCAGAGGACTGTGAAGTCTCCATCCTTGTACTTTCTCAAAACTTGGCTGGACACTATCCTGGGTAGCCAGCTGTATAGCTGGCTCCCCTTGAGCAGGCAGATTAGTTTGCACAGGTTTTAGAGGTCCTTTTTGTTCTCAGTAGTTTTCTCACCTCACAAAACTGTTGGACAGTAGCACATTCACATGGTGCTGCGTGGAGACAGGTGGACCAAAACCCAAGGTATTTATCTGAAAGTGGATATTCAAAACTTGCTTCCTCTATTAAATAAATTCATTTAGTAGCTTAGAAAAAAAAATCTGAATCCTGTAGAACTTCTAGAAGATTAATCCATATAGGTAGTCATAGTTCCATGAAGCAAGTTCATCTTCCTTATGCTGTATATTATTTGGTCTTCACTACTAGCAAGCGTTTGCAGGCCTTGCAAAAAAACCACTTCAGTTGTGTTAATGTGGGAATGTAGCAGCATTAATACTTTTGCCTCTTGGGTGAACTTAAATGTAAGTGACTCTCTACAAGACACCTGTGTGGTTTTGGGGACTTGGCTTTCAAACATTTTGAATTGAATGTGATTGAGTGTAATTACAATAGCACGGACTGATTCCACCACATCGTAGTTGAGCAGGTTAGTTGAAATGACAGAGTGATTTCTAAGATGCGCATATTACACAAATAGAATTTCTCATAGTAATGTTTATTTTTAGTATTTGCATTTAGTGAGTCTCTGTTTCTTTAAATGTAATACTGTCTATGACTCCTGCTATCTACAGGATATGGGTTTTTAAAATTTCATAAATGTTAAGCTGTGTAAGCTTCAAAGAAATCAGAAATGAAACTATATGATTCTAGGCGTCTTCCAAGAAAAGGATCCTGAGAGCAAACATGTTCTATGACGACACTGTTAATTGTTACAGCATTTGTCCTCTCAAGTCATTTACTGGTGGTGAGTCAGTCTAATGGATCTGAAAGTTGCTGTAGTTTAGTAGATTTTGGTAGTTTTTCCTGCATGATTATTTTGCCATTTTATTCAGGTGAGGGGATTTTATTCTACATCCGTACGAACCACGATCATACTTTATGCTGACCATGAAACTGTATGAGGTAGTGTAGCTGAAGTTTGTCTGAGTTGGGCATGCTTGTAGGAAAGGATATGGAAAACTGCCCTTATGATAACATTGTGTCTTTCCTTTTTGTTTTAAAGGACTATTCATGAGAAAAACTTATGCCAGTCTAATTGCCAATTTGTGATTATGTAAATAATTTGCATAAGTATTGTTCCAAATACAGAAATTCAAAGGGGTATCCTATATGTCCTCCTTACAGCAAAACTGAGATTAATGAAAGCTTACCATTGCTCTCTACTAGCTATGAAATTATACAGGTAATCCACTTTATGTTAGTTTTCATCAGCAGCTTTACAATATTAGCATTAAAAAGTGTGGTTTAAAGGTCAAAGAAAGTGTATTCCCAATGGACACTACTGGCAAACTGTTAACAAAAGACAAGAAAAGGCTGAGCTACTTAACTTTTTTTGCTTCAGTCTTCATTTGTGGGTCTCTTTTCCCCACAGTTCTTGAGTGGATGGACTGCAAGGCAGGGAATGGGGATGTAAGTTCTAAGAGATGATAAGGATCATGAGGAACCTGAACATACCTAAGACTATGGATGCTGATGAGATGCATGCCAGAGTCCTGAGGGAGTTGGCTGATGTAGTTGCCAAGCCACTCTCCTTGATATTTAAAAAGTCATGTGAAATCTGAGGTGACTGGAAAAAGGAGTACCCATCTTTAAAGAGCATAAAAAGGAGGACCTTTGAAACTACCAACCTGTCAGAGTGTCCTCCATGCCTGGGAAGATCCCGGGACAGATCCTCCTAGAAGCTCTGCTAAGGCACATGGAGCACAGGGAGCCAGGGCAGGCACCAAGGGTGAGTCCTGCCTGACCAGCCTGGTGGCCTTCTGTGATGGAGTGGCTGCATCAGTGCCTGAGGGAAAGGCTACAGGTGTCATTTACCTGGACTGCAGTAAGGCCTTGACATGGCCCCATAACATCCTTCTCTCTAAATTGGAGAGGTGTGGGTTGTGCAGATCAGCTGTTAGATAGACAAGAATGGGTTGGGTGGTAGCATCCAGAGGGTGGTGGTCAATGGCTCAGAGTCCCAGAGGGTGTCAGTGGCAAGTGGTGCCCTCAGGGGTCTGTACTGGGACCAGTATTATTTAATATCAATGACATAGACAAAAGGATTGAGTGCACCCTCAGCAAATTTGCAGATGACACCAAGCTGAGGGGTGTGGTTACTCTACTGAAGACAGGACGCCATCCAGAGGGACCTGCATAAGCTCTAGAAGTGTGCCTGTGGGACCTTAATGAGATTCAGAAAGGGCAAGTGCAAGGTGCTGCACCTGGGTTGGGACAACCTCTGTTATCAGTCCAGGCTGGGGGATGGAGGGAGAAGAGCAGTCCTGCCCAGAAGGGCTTGGGGGTGCTGGTGGGTGAGGGGCTGGACATGACCCAGCCATGGGCACTCACAGCCCAGAAAGCCAAACGTGTCCTGGGCTGCAGCCAAAGCAGGGTGAGGGAGGGGATTCTGCCCCTCTGCTCTGCTCCGCCCTGGTGAGACTCCACCTGGAAGGGGTCTGCTGCATCCAGCTCTGGGGTCCCTAGCATAAGAAAGGGGACTGTTGGAATCAGTCCAGAAAAGGACCACAAAAAAGGGATCAGAGGCATGGAGCTCTTCTGCTTTCCTCTTTCAGTGAGGAAAGGCTAAGCAAGTTCGTGTGTCCAACCTGGAGAAGAGAGGACTTCGGTGCTCCATTTTTGCAATAAACAGGGCTTTTAAGAAAGGTGAGGACAGGCTTTGTAATAGTAGGCTTTTTCAGTGGAACAAGAAGAGTGCTTTTAAACTAAAAGAGAGTAGATTCAGATTAGACATAAGGAACACAGTTTTTACAGTGAGCATAGTGAAATCCTGCACACGTTGCTCAGAGAGGTTTCAAATGGTCCATCCCCGGAAACATTTAAGACCAGTCTGGATGGGACTCAGACTCAGCAGCCTGACATAGATGAATATGTCCCTGCTCATTGCAGAAGGAGTGGATTAGATGACCTTTAAAAGTCCCTTCCTACCCAAACTATCACACAATTCTGTGATCACAGAAGTACCACTTTACACAGTTGATTGTTTTACTGTTGTCTTTCCCACAAGTGCCCAAAATTAAAGTTTTTTGTTGGACTGGAGTAGCTGGAACAAGGAACTATCAGAGCTTATGCAACTGAGAATAGCAGAAAAGGATGATGGAAGCAGATGGAAGATTGCTGACTTGCAGACTTTCCACCAGCCCAGTCACATGCCGGCGGGTTTCAGAGGGTGCCTTCTGCACTGTGACTGCCGGGGCCATTGCAGACAAGCAGCAGTCATGGGTGGTTTTCTGAGAAGAGTGGTGATGGTTGTCCTGGCATCTTTGCTAGAAACAGTGGTGGTGACGACCTCCTGCATGAAATGAGGGACTGAAGGGAGAGTTGTTTCTCTCTGTGGTGGCTCTGCATTGCAACCCTAGCATGCTTCCCTGACATCCCTGTGTTTCTAGGTCCTTATCTTTAGCAGAATCGAATCCAGTTCCCCTGGATGCACGCTGCTGCTGTGTGTTCTTACTTCCTGAAAAGAAAGGACACAAAAGGGGTATTTGTCCTTTTCTTTATGGGAATTCATTACCGATTGGTTTGTTTTCAGCTTAGGCCTGTGGTTTTAGATTATTTTCTTTTTTTCCTTGGTGTGGCTAGGCAGCCCTTGGAAAGTGGAATGGCCAGAGATCCATCAGTTCTGCAGAGAGGGAGGAAATGACTTGCCATAGAAAGTGGAAATTTCTGTCTAGTTTTAGAGGGAAAACTACAGTACAATTATGAAATAGAAAGGGAGGGCTTGACCAGAGAAATAAAATACTAGGGATATAAAAGATTGGAAAGAAAAATTAGGGAAAAATATAATTATACAATGCTTGAGATTGGGTTCTTTCAAAAGTGTTTGTTTCAGGAGCTCAGCTTTCCTAAAGCACTGTTCCTCTGATATAAAATCTTGAAAGTCATTTTCCCTCATCCCCTACACAAAAAAATCCTATAGAATATTAATCCCGATGTTTCTGAGTGTGGGGTGCCTGGCTTCGTCTAGCCCTCGCTGCTAGACCAAAGGCAGCAGCTGTGGCGTTTTACCCCAGAGA